TAGAGAACAGACTGGATGTAGAGAACAGTCTGGATGTAGACTGGATGTAGAGAACAGACTGAATTTAGAGAACAGTCTGGATGTAGACTGGATGTCAGCTGGTTTTTACTCTGAGCTATCAGAGCTCATCTGGATGAAAACAAATTAAACTAATTAAGTCAGTCTGTCTATAATATTTGTTCACAACTCATCCAGTTTAAATGTGATTCTAAGGGAGTTACTCAGAGGAGCTCCAGGTTTATAAATAAAGGTTTATAAAGGATTTTATTTTGTATTTGTTTCAATTTCTTACTAATTTCCAGGCAACACATTTATGTTTCTTTTTTCTATTTTAGATAGAAAGAATAAAATGTCTGAGAATTAAATGCTCAAATTAAAACATTAAGTAAAATAGTTGTCTCTGTCATCTGGACACTGCAGCAGATTATTGCTGATTATTTTTCAAAGGTTTGGGTCTAATCTGCTCTGATCTAGTGAGGATTTAAACTAGAGGGACTTTCTAATGAGTAATGAGGACCACCTCCGGACGTTAGATGTGGACAGACCTCCAGATGTTTGGGAAGCGTCCACCGCGTCCTGAGGAGGACATCAAGCAGGCAGACTGTCCCTCCTCCCACCCTGAACATCCCGGGGGAAGGATGGAGTCTCCCCAGCAGCAGTTTCCTCTAGCAGCCTAGTCAAAGTTCAGACTGCATGGTTTGTGGTCTGGCCTCCATCATGTGGGAACCTTTACAGCAAACCCCCCCTCAGCGCTGCTGGGGGTCATGACCTCTTCTCATTATCGGCCGCGGGGCGTAAATCCATCCATCGATTATTGAAATCATTGTTTTTAAAGAGTTTTCTGTATTTTCTCAAGTTTTCTTTGACCACATGTCTGATGATCTGAAAGGAAAGGAAGCAGGAGTTTGGGGCGAAAACACAGAGGAACCTGCTGCAGATCCATCAGTCATGCTGTGGGCCTCTGCCTGCGCTGCTCTAAATATTAATCATTATTTCCTGGTTTTTTCTTCCTGGTGATTTTCTCTCTTTTGGCCGCAGGGACTGCCGTGCCGATGACGTCATTTCCTGTGTGTTATTTTTTAAAGTTTCACTTTCTGTTCAGAACACCGGCGGTTCGGAGCGAAAAGCGGCGTCATGGCCTTCAAATACCCCGCAGCCCGCAGAGACCTCAGCCGGGTGAGTTTGGACTCCGGTCCGGTCCGGTCCGGTTCGGTCCGGTCCGGGTGGAGAATGAAAGCAGTCAGGAAACAGCTGGTTAATCAGTGATTATTGATTAATCAGTAATAATCAGTGATTATCGATCAGCCCGGAACCTCAGCCTCTGAGTTCAGGACCGACCCGGTGGGTTCGGGTCCATTAAGCCTGAGATCCGGTTCTGACAAACTTTAAGGTTCGTCAGCAGAATCCTCCCCGCTGATTGGCTGCTGCTCCAGCAGGCAGACTGGACCGGAACCAGAACCGGTTCTGGTTCTAAATTCAGCTCAGCAAGAAAAAAAAAAGAAAAGGGTTTCAGTCAGATCCAACAGACGGGTCCTGGAGGACCATGGGTCCATGTCACCTCTGGTTCCGGTCCACAGTAAACATCATCATCATCATCATCATCATCATCATCATCATCATCATCATCATCATCATCATCATCTACCAGCGCTCCGTTTCTATGAACATCTTAAATAAACTCAGATCCAAATCCAGCCTAAAGTTTAGAATCTTCATAAAAGCAGCTATGAATTCGTTAATCAACCAACTAATTAATGCATTAATGATTTTAATGAGTTTAATGAGTTTTAAAAAGATGGAGAAGCTGCGCTACAGCTGCAAAGGAGAGGAAGATGGACTTAAAGGGGAACACCGTTTTTTTACATTGGGCCCTTGATTTTAGGTATTACATCATGTTCTACCGCGGATGACGTCATGCACACTTTGTTTTAAAAGATAAATATATAAAATCTAACTGCGGATGTCTGTGGGACAGTGATTGGCCTCCATGTTCTGAATGCTGGCGTTCCATAAAGAATAAATGATGAACAGTTTAGTTTGTGCCTTCAAGTCGTTGCCCATAGGAAGACGTTACTGGATATAACCTAACGGAATATCTTCAGAACGGCTCCAAATGACACTAAACTCATCTGGGTGAGAAGAACATGATGGAATAACGGAAAATCAAGGAAACAATGTAAAAAAAACAAAAAACGCTGCTTTGGATGTTATCGTTCCAATAAATGGTCGTTATTAGCGGCTATCAGGCCCATAGAATGGCTTCAGATTGTACCAGTGGGCTCAGTAGGTTGTTCATCGAGTAAATCCTAATCCTTTTCCTCCGTGAATTAATTAATCTTTTTATGTAATCTGGAATTATTTTCAGTAGTTCTTCATGTAGGCCTACTGTAAATATAACGACATAAAAATAAAATGATCCACATCTCGCTCATATGAAACAAACCAAAAACAAGCAATCTCATATCCTGTCACTGCTTCCTCTGGGGAGTTCATGGAGGGCGGAGGGTTGGGCTGTAAGCACAACCTCCATCTGTGGACGTCAGGCCCTCATACCATCCTCGTGGAGTCGGTTTCTTACCGTTAATGCAGAAACATGCACACTGGCAGCCTGGAGGTTATTTAGCAGGGCTCTGGCAGTGCTCCTCCTGTTCCTCCTTCACAAAGACAGAGGTAGAGGTCCAGCTGCTGGGTTGTTGCCGTACTACGGCCTCCTCCGTGTCTCCTGGGGTCCTGGCCTGTCCGCTGGTAGCGCCTCCAGCCTCTGGACACTCCTCTGACAGACACAGCAAACCTTCTGGCCACAGCTGGCATTGATGTTCCATCCTGGATCAGCTGCACTACCTGAGGGTGGTTCGGAGTGTGAAGGCACCACCGCCATTCAAAGGGACCAAAACATCAGCCAGGAGGGACTGAGAAAGTCTGCAGATCCACTCCTTTACTGAGTTAGCCTTTCTAATGGCCAATCAGTTCCACCTGAGCAGCAGATGGAACTGATTGGCAGTCAGTGTTGCTTCCAGTTTGATTTCAAAGACGTTTGATTTGATTAAAGTTTTATTGTGTTGTTTATTTTATCCCTTTATTATTTTAGCAGCTTAATTCAACAATTCCCTCTTAATGAACATGTGGATGAACTTTAAACCCATCCTCTTAAAGGTTAAAGTTGACTTTCTCTCTACCCAATGTGAAGTGAGCTCCAGTCTTCAGCCAATCAGCTGTCTGCTTCCTCCATCTCTGCTTCAGAGGTTCGTTTTTCTGATGTCTGAGCTTCTTTTAGCTCTTAGCATTGTCTGACGCTCAGACCTTCACCCCTGACCCTGATGTTGGATACCAGGTTCTGGTTTGAGCACCAGCCTTCCAGCCCCCGGACCTCTGACGATGAAAGTGTTCACTCTATAGACGAGACGCAGGCCGGCGGCGGTGCAGGGAGTTCAGGCCTCCCTAAAGCTCCTTCTGAGGCGTCATTCAGTTGTGGTTAAATAATGACTGATTCCTAATAACGCCGTGTGCGTGCTCTGGTCTGATGGCATCACTTGCTGATTGGAGTCGGTGCTTCAGAAGCTTCAACAATAGATCTGTGCATTCCAGAGCTGTCAGTTCTGCGGTTTATGAGCCAAATATTACATCTGCTGATGGCAGTTGATACTCGGTTCCAGAGAAATCAGAGTGAAAGAAATAGCTGAGAACAGGAATATCAAGCTTCAGTGCCAAACTCTACTGTTGTTTGTTGTGCAGGTGGATGAATACCACGGAACCAAGATCTGTGATCCTTACGCCTGGCTGGAGGACCCTGACAGCCCAGAAACCATGGTAACACTCGTCCTCCTGCAGGCGCGCTCCCTCTGTGACTCAGAAGCTTCACCCCGTCTCTGTTTCTGCTGCTCAGGCGTTTGTGGAGGAGCAGAACAAGGTGACCATGCCGTACCTGGAGGGCTGCGCCGTGAGGGCCAGGTTCCAGCAGCGCCTGACCGAGCTCTACGATTACCCCAAATACAGCTGCCCCTACAAACGAGGATCCAGGTACCCGACGGACTCCAGGCCAGAACCTCAGCTAGAACCTCAAGGCCTTAGATCTCTGGTTCTGGTCACTGTGGAGCGGCTAAGATTTCCATTACAGACCAAAACATTTAACCCTACTTTACTGCAGCAGAAGGAAACGATGTCTGATCATCAGGTCAGATCATCTGATTTAACGCTAAAATGATGGAATGGATGGATGGACTTTCTGTATAAAAAAAACAAACAAACAAACAAAGAAACACGAAGATAGAAAAACCTCTTTTTTTCTGCATAAATCCAATGTTTACGACAGTAAAGCAAACATGTCAGAAATGGTCTTCACCTGAAGGCCAGTAAAATAACCAGCTAACGGTTCTGTTACCATCGCTTACAGTTCAGTTACCAACATTAACAGTCCTGTTTCTATCTCTAAAGATTCTGTTGCAAACACTAATGGTTCTGTTACCATCGCTAACAGTTCTGTTACCAATGTTAATGGCCCTGTTGCTATCGCTAACGGTTCTGTTACAAACGTTAACAGTCCCGTTACCATCGCTAACAGTTCTGTTACGTATGCTAACGCTTTTGTTACCAACACTAGTGGTTCTGTTACCATCGCTAACAGTTCTATTACCAACGCTAATGGTTCTGTTACAGTGGCTAATGGTCCTGTTGCTATGGCTAACGGTTCTGTGACCAACGTTAACAGTCCTGTAACCATCGCTAACAGTTTTGTTACCAACACTAACCCTCTTCCCCCCTCACAGTGCTTTCCTTGCCTCTCTGCTCAGGTACTTCTACTTCCACAACAAAGGCCTCCAGAACCAGGATGTGCTGTACGTGCAGGACTCCCTTGATGCTCCAGCCTCCGTGTTCTTCGACCCAAACAAGCTGTCTGAAGACGGAACCGTGGCTCTTAAGAGTGAGTCCCGCTGCAGACGCTGTCCTGGAAGCGTCTCGCCGCTCTGACCTCTGTCCCTGTCCCTCTCAGTGGGACGGCTGTCTGAGGAGTGTGAATACTTCGCTTACGGTCTGAGCAGCAGCGGCTCAGACTGGGTCACCCTGCGCTTCCTGAAACCTGACGGGCTCACCGAGCTGCCGGACGTCCTGGAACGGGTCAAGTTCAGCTGCCTGGCCTGGACCCACGACGCTAAGGGCATCTTCTACAACTGCTACCCCCCCCAGGAAGGAAAGAGCGACGGTAATCCATCCGTCCCACTGCACAGATTCAGAGCCTAGAGCCGGGCGCTAGAACTGGTCGGTCCAACACGGACCGTCTAAATGGTTCTAACATGGGATATTATTATGATATTTTCTAATAGATAAAGATAATGGGACCAACCAGGACCCAAGGTTCTGGACTGGTTTTGAAGCTCTTAAACCAGAAAGTGGACCCTTGAACCAGAATAATGAGCCCCTGTTCCTGCAGGCACAGAGACCACGTCCAACATTAACCAGAAGCTCTTCTATCACGTCATCGGAACCAAGCAGTCCGAGGACATCCTGGTCGCAGAGTTCCCGGATCATCCCAAATGGCACAGCTCAGTCACTGTGAGTCCAAGCCCGGGATCCGCTATCTATCGGTCGGTAGCGGGAAGAGGTCTGTAGAATCTATTCTCTTTAGGTCTGAAGAACCCACTTGATTTTGGTTCCAGTCCCTGTTTAGAGCAAACATTCAGCAGAAACCTGAGATTCTGACCCAGATCAACCCGAACCAGGCAGAGCCTCCTTATGATTTATCAAGGTTCCATCAAGCATCTCCAAACCAGAGCAACGGGTCGGCACCACACCTCTGGTGGGTCGAGGTGTTTGGTTGTTTTGCGTTTAGCATCTGGCCCTAAGATTGACCCGGATTTAAAGGTTTTAAATGATCAGTTCTCCTCCTCAGAGCACCATTCAGCTTCTGGGTTCTGGGTTTGTTAAGTCAGGTACCATCAAAGGCTGCTCACCAGAACAATGACCCAGCGGATGTTGGTTCTGATTGTTGTCCTCCTGTCCACAGATCTCTGATGACGGACGCTACGCGGTTCTGTCCATCACTGAGGGCTGTGAGCCGGTCAACCAGCTGTGGTACTGTGACCTGCAGGAACTACCAGACGGCATCAAAGGTGGGATGGATGGATGGATGGATGGATGGATGGATGGATGGATGGATG